TCCGGCCATGCTGAGGCCATGTCCCACATACAGCAACTAGAAGGATGTGCCACTATGACATACAACTATCCACTGGGGCTTTGGGGAAAAAAAAGGAGGAGGATCAGCAATAGATGTTAGCTCAGAGCCGGTCTTCCTCAGCAAAAAGAGGAGGATTAGCATGGATGTAGCTCAGGGCTACATCCCTCACATCCCTTTTGTGCTTCCTCACAAAAAAAAAAAAAAATGCAGAGATTTGGAAAGAACTCTTCCCAATTAAAAATATGAAAACACAAATAAAACACTCAATAAAAGAGTTGAAAGATAAAGTCAAGAAAATCTCCCAGAAACTAGTGAATAATGACAAAAAGATTAAAAACTGTCAGAAAACAAAGAAAATTAGATGACCAACCCACGATGTCCAACATCTGAAAGGCAGAAAGAGAGAACAGAGTAAACAGAGTAGCAGAAAGAAAAAATTCCAGAAAATTTCTCTGACCTAAAGGACAAGCACCCCCTGGAAGGTGCCCTGGCCTTGACAGGCCCTCAGGTACATGCAGAGATGGAGAGTTCAGCCTGCCTGGGTTTCTCACCTCAGAAAGGCAGAAGTGGCCTTCACTGCCTCAGCAGCCACCTCCAGCACCGGGCTGCTCACTGCCTCTTGGAGAACATGGTTAGCATCTCCACACATGGTTGAGCTTGTGAACAGCTTGATCTCCTCTGGCTGCCTGAAAAATGGTAAATGAGAAACGAGTGAGCGAACTCCTATCACTGACCCTACCAGGAATAAATACTTCGCTTCTTTCCTTCTCCAGTCTGGCCCCTACAGGCCTGACGCTCCACTGCTTTGCTCACCGAGTCAGGATCTCAGCAAAGAGCAGCAGGCCCTGCTTGTGCAGCTCTGTGTTGTTCATCCTCAGGCTTCCCTGTAGGCTCCTCACCACCGACTCGATCCCTACCTCAAAATGACACAGCAGAGACCAGGGATCAGTGTTTTGCAGTTCCTTCACTGCCTGCCCAGGAAAGGTAAGAGGCTCTGGATAGCACATATTTGCTGGAGGCCCCTCATGGAGAGGCCCTAACAAGTTTGAGCTGATGGAATGGGACTGTGAGATTTTTGAGGGCAGGCCCTTATCTGATTCATATCTGTCTCTCTGAAACACAGCACATCACATAGCACCCAGGCCCTAGTACTTGAGGTATTTAGTGAATGCCTAATGATTGAGCTATGCCTTCTCCACTAGACACAGTCCTATGCCTCCTGAAAAAACTGGGTCAGACATCTACTCCTCCAGGAAGCCTTCCCTGATCCACTCAGGCAGAGCTGAGGGCCTCCCCTGAGCTCCCATACCTCCTGTACTTCCCTCTAACAGAGCCCTAATCAGCTTGTTTATATCTCTCTCCCCTTGCAGAGGACAGGAACCACGTTACATGTATCTCTAAATCTCCAGGTCCCAGCCTGGTGCTTGGCATAAAATAGGAACACAGAACATAAAATGAATGACTGAATGTCCAGTCTAAAAATTCAAATGTGATATAAAAAGTTTCAGACAAGAAAGGTATCACCAGTAAGGAAGAGGAAAGGACAGTTTCAAGAAATTTTGAAAGGATGAATCAGCAAACCTTAGGGACTAACTAGATGGATAGGTATCTGGGGCACAGGCAAAAACTGAATCCAAGGCTGAGTAAAGTTGTTAAGGTGCAACAGGAATTCATTTAGTGGCTAATAGGAGTGCCTTTCTCTTGCTAAACATATATACTTCTGCTAATCAGTGAAGAGCAGAACTGTGGATATCACTGCTTGTATAAGGAATCTGGTAATGAGTTCAGGCTGATGGAAATGACCAAACCCAGCACCCCACTCCAAGGTGTAGGCTAGTCCCCCATCATTGCTGCTGCTACCCAACTTCAAAGTGCTGTCTACCCAACCCAGAGCTAGTATAGGACCCCCACTACCAACCGTACACCGTGTGGCACTTGGAAAAGAAGAGTGGCTCTTCTGCCAGGAGTATCAAGCAGTTGTAGCTGGACAAGATAAGCACTTCACTGGAAGAGGAAAGATGCTCAAAGAGGAACTCTGGCCAGGGAGAGGGGGAGAAAACAATAAATGACAGCTGTGTGATCATGATCCCTTAACTAATAATGCTAGGGCCTTGGATTTATTCAGCATCTCACAGCCGTTACTTCATCTGTTCACACATCCTCTCCATGACACACGATCAGTAATTCACAGATAAACTTGGAAATGCCCTCAGGGTTATGAGTCTACCCTCATCTTTTTAACAGATGGGGAAACTGAGACCCAGAGAGAGGTACTGTTAGTGGCAGAGGTAGGACTAGAACTCAGGTCTCCTAATTATCAGGATGGGTAGCAGCATGATGCAGAGAAAAGAGTTTTTAGAACCAGAGAGGTTCAGGTTTAGAACCAGAAGAGTTTATATCTCTTCTCTGCCAATGATAGCCTTGTCAATTTAAACCAGTTATTTCCCTTCTCTGATCCTCAATTTCCTTATCCATAAAAAAGCAAAGATGAGGACCTAAATGTGGCAACATTTGTAGCACACCTCAGGGCACATTTCCTGGCTCATAACAAGCCTTCAAGAAACATTAGTGCCCTTTGCCTTCCTGGCCCACAGGTCTTTCCACTACCCCACACTAGGTGTTTATTCATATAAAAAAATGGTCAAATAAATGACAAAGATCAGTAACAAACTTCTCTACGTCATGTAAGAAATCTGTAGCAAGGCCGGCCCTGTGGCTTGGTGGTTAAGTGCGCGCGCTGCGATGCTGGTGGCCCGGGTTCGATCCCGGGTGCGCATCGAGGCACCACTTCTCCGTCCATCCTGAGGCCGAGTCCCACATACAGCAACTAGAAAGAAGTGCAGCTATGACATACAACTATCTACTGGGGCTTTGGGGGGAAAAAAAAAAAAAAAAAAAAAAAAAAAAAAAAAAAAAAAAAAAGAAATCTGTAGCAAGAGGATTCAGACTTTATGAAGCCTGCTTCCTAGAATGTCATGTACAACTGAACCTGCCACCAACCCATCCCTCCAGTACGCATTATCAAAGAACCCCCAAGAGGACCGCTGCTGGTATGACTTACGCGTCTCCAGTCAGAATTCTTGGGTCCTCGGAGGAGAAGGTTAGAAGGGGCCTCCTACCTGGGATGTCAGCATGGATGAAGGCCGGGGCATGCTTCGCCGGGGAGTGGACCAGCACCGCAGTTATACAGTGGGCACTGGCCACCTGCAGAGTCTCATCTCTAGAGAGAAGAAGCTGGAGAAACAGGCAGCAAAAAGTGCTGCAGTCACAGCACTGACAGGACCAGAGGGAAGTGGCCTCAGGGCAGCAGCCTAATTCGTCTCTGAATCCCTCCTGCAATACATGGCGCCAGGCACAAGGATGGTACTCAGGGAGAGCAGTTATGGATTATGGAAAGGAGTCTCTGTAAATAGCAGCAGGTGAGAAATAGAACAAAAGAACACAATGGCACTCAAAGAACACTAAAACCATCACCAAGTAGGGCTCAGGCTTTCACTGACAAAAGTATTTTCATAGCCCTCATCTGGTTTTGATGTTTGCAACAAGCCTGAGACATACTAAGGAAAAGTTCTACTATGACCCTCACTTTACAGAGTGTGCAGAAAAGAGTTAACACAGCAGGCCTGGGCCGGCCCCGTGGCTTAGCGGTTAAGTGTGCGCGCTCCACTGCTGGCGGCCCGGGTTTGGATCCTGGGCGCGCACGGACGCACCGCTTCTCCGGCCATGCTGAGGCCGCGTCCCACATACAGCAACTAGAAGGATGTGCAGCTATGACATACAACTATGTACTGGGGTTTTGGGGGGAAATAAAATAAAATAAAAAAAACACAGCAGGCCTGAGACTGTTATCCTGCCTGCAAGGTTGGTCATTGACTGGATTCGGGAAGTTGGATTTCAAGAGGGTTCCTATCACTCCCAGAACTGATAAGAGTGGCACACTGTGACTAAATTATTTGTCCAAACAATGTAGTTTATGCTCAACACCTGCTTTCTTTCTAGGAGTCTGGAATTTTGGTATGTGCTAAGCAGAGGGTGCCTACATGACCAGCCAGCCCCCAGTAAAAATCTGGGCACTGAGACTCCAGTGAGCTTCCCTGGTAGGCAACATTTCACACATGTTGTCACAATTCACAGCTGGAGGAATCAAGTGCCTCCTGTGTGACTCCACTGGGAGAGACTCTTTGAAGCTTGTGTCTGGTTTTCCCCTGGACTTCATCCCATGCGCCTTTTCCCTTTGCTGCTTTTGCTTTGTATTCTTTCACCGTAATAAATCATAGCTGTATGACTATACACTGAGTCCTGAGAGTCCTCCTAGCAAATCACTGAAATGGGATCTTCTTGGGGACCCGCAACATACAGAGGAAGGAATTATAGCTCATCAAGGTTAAGTCACTTACTCCAGGCCACACAGCTAATAAGTGGCAAAGCTAAGGCAGAAACCAGGTCAGCCATGTCCAAATTTAGGAGTCTTCCCACAACTGAGATGCCTCCCTCATCAAAATTTTAGATCAAGTTACTCCTCTACTCAAAACATTTCAGTGAATTTCCATTATAATCTGAATAACATCCAAACTCCTGCCGGACACCATAGCTATTAGGACTCCGATAACACTTTTAGAAACCAAGAAAAGAGTTAACTGCAACCACAGATTTTAAACGTAGTAGAAACTGGCCTTCCGGGAGGGATAATGATGAGTAGAACATATACCACAAGACAAACGAGAGTGTGCCTGGTTTTGGAGCTTCAAACGAAAAGGACCAAATCACACTCATGTCTGATAGAGATTCATCTGAGGACTGCAAGCTTAACCCCTTCTCAGTCATGTTAGACTTAAAAATAGACACATGTGGGCTGGCCCAGTGGCATAGCGGTTAAGTTCTCGTGTTTCACTTCGGTGGCCCAGGGTTTGCCAATTCGGATCCTGGGCACGGACCTACTCACCGCTCATCAAGCCATGCTGAGGCATGTCCCACATAGAGGAACTAGAATGACCTACAACTAGGATATACAACTATGTACTGGGGCTTCAGGGAGAAAAAAGAAAAAGGGGAAGACTGGCAACAGATGTTAGCTCAGGGCCACTCTTCCTCAAAAAAAAAAATGGCCTTTCTGTTAGTATGTAAAGGAGTTTCTAGATATTAATCTTTATCTTGTTCTATTTTATACAGGAAACGACATGTGTTTTAAGACACTACTGATGTAAGGCAAACCATTATTTTATGTACCACTAAGAAAGAAAAAGAGCTATAATTAAACTATGACACACCATTGGTGGTAAAATGTCTCCCAATTTCAGAGCTGCTAAAATGTGAATAAAAAAGTGTCTTAAAAAAATGACATTTAACCATTAAGCAAAACAATGCTTCTTGGTTTAAAATGCATATTCCTTATTGTTGAGAAAGAAACACTCCAATCTCATTTTTCCATCATAAACAAAATTATGAAAAATCTATCATTAAAAAAATCCTAGTGACTTACCATGACCTATCAGGACTCGCATGACTTTCCCTGCTTAATCTCTAGCCACTTCACTTCACCTCCTACTCACCCTCCCATCCCACTGGCTTCCATCTGTTTCTGGAACACATCAAGCATTTCCCTTCCTCTGGCCTTTACTTGCTATTCTCTCTGCCTGAAATGCTTTTCTGCCCACTCTTCATATCACCAGCTTACTTTATTTATTTATTTTCAACTTCACTGAGGCATAATTGATCACCGGTTACTTTAATTCTTCAAGTGTCAGCTCAAATGTCGACCCTTCAGAGAGGCCCTGTCTGACCACTCAACCTATAGATGGCTTTCTCCACTACTATCTTATCTCCTCTTTATTTCCTTTATAGCACTTATCACAATCTATAATTACTTTACTTATTCATTTACTTGTTTATTATCTGCCTTTCCCACTAGACAGTGCAAGTGCAAGTGCTCAGTACGTATTTGACTAAATGAATGAATCAATGTTGCAAGAACAGGAACACAAACATTGATAATATATTCCTAGGGACCTGAACTTTGGGAAAGTAAGTTGATTACCAGCCAAAAGCAGGAATGAAGAGCATTAGACTCTGACAATAATGCCAGTATGGAGGTATAAGGATACATGCTGATTTTATCTTTATTTAAAATTTTGATATTTTGTTCATCATGAATTTTTTGCATTAACTTTGATTTCTTTTAAATATTGCATTAAAATAGTATTTATCTTGATTGCTGAGTTTTTTAGCAACCCCTTACATTTTGCACCTAAGGCAAGTTCCTCACTCGCCTCACCCTAGTCCCAACCTTGCTGGTTGCTGTAGTAAAACAGAACGCTGATCATCCAAAATTGCCAATGGAAGAACAGTCTCTACATAAGGATGGAGGCTGGGACCTCTAAAGCAGGATTCCTATCTCTACAAAGTTCTCTCCCCAGAGGGAAGTGCTCTCTAATCTCCGTCCCTGCCACCATCATGCTGCCTTGGTGCACTGTGAGGACAGAAGACCTTGTGCCCCTGCTGAGCCCAGGACTGAATGCCCTAACCAGATGTTACCATGGACTCCTGGACAGCAGCAGAGAAATGAACACAGAAAGAAACTCGACATGAGATTTTCCGGTTCAGACACACAGGACTTTCTCTTCAGAGTTCACAGGCCCTGCGGGGACCATTCTAGAGGCATCCCAGGGAAAAAAGAAGGAACAGTTTGCTCTGGCTTTGTAATGTCCACCTTTGACCTATCCCCAACTGTCCGTTTCCCACTTCTGACCAGGGCTCCTCCTCCTTCCTGCAGAAGGAGGCCCACAATCTGGTCAATCAATGATAGACCCGCTATCTGATAAGAATAAGTAGCTCTGCCAAACCCTGTGCTGAAGACTGTGGAGAGAGGCAGTCAGACTCAGGTCCTGCCCTAAAGAAGCTCCTAATCAATTAACCACAATATGGTGAGGTAAGCACTGTGACAGAGGGGCACCTTCTGTCTAAAGGAGCCAGGGTGACAAGGGAGCCCTACAGGCCTTGAAGGCTGAATCAGAGATCAATAGACAAAGGAGAGGGGAAAGGCTTTAAAGGCCAAGGGGAAGAGTATCTGCACAGGCACAGATGTCCTAGCATACGCAGGACCAAGGAGAAGCTGCGTATGGCTGGAGCACTGGTTGTGGGGTAGAAGACATAGGTAAATAAGGCTGAAGGGATAAGCAGGGTCCAGAGGAAGAGGGCTCTAGGTACCAAGCTGAGAAGCTTGAGTTTCATCTCTAAAACAACTGAGGTAGCTTTGTTTCTGTTGCTACATGTATTTTCCATTCTCAGGCAGCCCAGATATGAAGGGGAAGATGCAGATATAAGGATTCATGACTGAAAAAAACATACTTTGGGTCTTCTAACAGCTTATTGTTTTGGCCACTAAGAAAATACTGTGGCAGGGGCCAGCCCATTGGCGCAGCGGTTAAGTTCGCGCGTTCCACTTCAGCGGCCTGGGGTTCGCTGGTTCTGATCCTGGGTGCTGACCTACTCACTGCTCATCAAGCCATGCTGAGGTGATGTCCCACATAGAAGAACTAGAAGGACCTAAAACTATGTACTGGGGTTTTGGGGAGAAAAAAAGAGAAAGATTAGCAACAGATGTTAGCTCAGGGCCAATCTTCCTCAAAAAAAAAAAAAGAAAGAAAGAAAAGAAAATACTGTGGAAATCCTAGATAGAAAGAGTGGTGGATGAGGACAAGGCCCAGGAGGTATTTGTGTTTCCTTGTTATTGAACCTAGAAACCAGGAATCACAAGATAACTACCTTTTTGAGCACCAAAGGCAGTGAGGTCTCTCCTGGTGGCCCATCAATACTCTCAGTACTTTCCGCCAGCACAGACTTGTTCATGATCATGGACACAAAGAGATCATACTTCAGCAGCTGCCTCAGCAAACCTAGAACACAAAGGGGTTAGGAAGTGAGGCGAGAGGAGCACAGGCACCAGAGTATGCCCAAGGTAGCCCCTCATACATCTCCTAGAAATTTCTTCATGTCTTTATAGATATTCCTAAGTATTTTATTCTTTTTAATGCTATTATAAATGAGATTGTTTTCTTAGTCTCTTTTTCAGACTGTTTGTTGTTAGTGCATAGAAACACAACGGATTTTGTATCCTTCAACTTTACGAATTCACTTATTAGTTTTAACAGTTTTTTGTGGAGTTTTTAGGGTTTTCTATACATAAGATGATGTTATCTGCAAATAGAGACAATTTTACTTCTTCCTTTCTGATTTTAATGCCCTTTCTTTCTTTTTCTTGCCTAATTGCTCTATCCAGGACTTCTAGTACTATGATGAATAGAATCCCACCCTTTTCTGTGCAACCTCCATGATAGTACTTACCACATTGGACTATGAGCTCCCTCAGAATAGAGCTTGGGTTTGATCATCTTTATGACCCCAGAGCCCAGCAAAGGGCCTGGCCCAGAATGAATGCTAACTATGTGTGGCTGGACTGTTCATAACAGAGCTCTTGGCCCAAACTGTGAAAATAAACTATTGTTATCCATAGACTATGCTTTTCCCTCTAGCTCCTGCTCTGGAGCAGGCCCTCACCCAGTCACCAATCACAGTGCCCATTTGCTCTGTCCAAAATATGAAAGCTCCCTGCTCAGAAGCATTTGATAGATCTTGTGTACTTATGTAAGGAAGTAGCAGGAGAAGAGGCTGAAAGGGTACATTGGGGCTCCTAAGGAGCCTCAATAACAAGCAGAGAAACCTGGATATCACCCTGGAGGCCAGAGGGAGCCATAGATGATTTTCCCAATAAGAAACTGACAGTACATGAGATGCGCAGCGTGAAGATTAACTTGGCAGCAAGTATAGGATGCACCATGGCAGGCAGTAAAGACTGGAGGGAGAAAAATTGCTGTCCCATTTTCTTTCTTCTTCTTCCAAAGGCAATATTCTTAAGATGCCATACCAACTCTAGGCATCTTTCACAATCTATGCATCTTATCTCCCAAACCTATGGCTTCTACCCTTTGCAAAGCAGCAAATTTCCCCACCGCTAGAGAGCCAGTATCTCAAGTCCTCAAGCAAAACCTGGAAAGCTCTCTCTCTCTTTTCTCTCCAGTCCCACATCTTACCCAAGCAGTTGATCTGTAGTTCCTTTGTCTGGGCACCAGCCAGGGTGGAAAGGAAGAGAGGACACAGCTTCTCCCGGAAATGGCCCGAAAGCATCTCAGCTGCCATTGGTGAGGAGTATAGCTTCCCATAGAGGTAACAGACAGAAGCTTGCACCCCCTCATTGGGGTATACTAAACCTCTCAACAGATGCTCCATCAGGTTACCTGTCCAGAAAACAATCAAGGGGCCGGGGGAACCTCACAATGTCCACTGCTATTTGAAATTCTAAACTGTTGCCCCTAGTGGGGTAGTAACTACAATCCCCCACAATAAATGATTTCTGGGCCCTTAGTCAAAAGGGAAAACCAAAGCTTAGAAATATTTATTTGTATTTTACTGACAGAAAAAAGTGCTTCTATATTCCAGAATTAATTCCTCCTTCCACCCAAAAGGAAGGCTCATAGTACATACTTAATTAGTTTGTGTTAAAATAATGAATAGAAATAACACAAGACCAGAGTCAAGAAACACTTTTCAAATTGCCAACATAGAGCACATTATGCAGATGAGGAAAAGCCTGGAGAAGGAAAGTAATGACTTCCCAGGTGTATGGGAATGGACCCATACATTAGACCACCCAGATGGAAGTGTGATCAAAGCAGGTGAAAAGGTAGTGGCAGCTCTTTCCCAGAGGTCACTCACCGTGCTCCATTACAAGCTTGTCTGCCACAGCAGGGATGGCATCCACCAACTTGCCGAGAAGGGTCAGGGTAGACAGGCTCCCTCGCATGGAGGGCATGTTACACAGCTACAGAAAGTGAACACACTCTGCTCTATAAATTGGGATCAGGATAGATCTCCTACCAAAATTTATCTTGCCCTATCCACACCAAAGCCTGTGTTGTCCGTGTCTCTCACCATAATCGGTAATCAGCTTCTTTAGCTAAGTGTCTATCTCCCCTGTTGCACTGGGAAGCCCCTGGGAAAACGGGAGGAGTCAGATTCCTCTCAGAGTCCTCAGCACCTAGCTCAGTACATGTTTGTTAAACTGAATTAAAAATTAGCATATTTTGCCTTCTATAGAGCCAGAAACTGGGGGGGTAAAAGTTAGGAACATGATCAAGACAAAATTCTGGCTCAGTGCAAAAAAAAAATTATTATTACTATCATCATTAATTTAGCTACTATTATTGAACACTCTATTTGCCAAGCTTGATGCTTTAGGGAGAGTCGATATATATTTCACCTTTTCTACTGACTAGGTGTAGCACCTTAAGTAAGAGTCTTGACTCTTCTGGTGAGAAATAATAATAGTACCAACTTCACAGGGTTGTTGGGAGGACTGAATGAGATATTGCATGTAAAGCACCTAACACAGTGCCTAGCATATGGAAAGTGCTCAAAAGTGTAAAGTGGCATCATCATAATGATAAATACTGATACATATAATTATAAATTCAATCTAATATATTAATCACATGCAGAGTAATTGTAATGATGTGATAATTTAATTTATAATTAAATGATGCTCTTGATGGTGCTAAGATGAACAATTGTCCTCTTTCTGCAAAAAAAATAAAAAGTGATTGATATTCCTGAATCTTAAACACAATGCAAAAGCTGCTTGCTTAATTGATATCTTTGACTACGTTGAAGAAAGCATATTAAACACAGCCACTCAACACTTACCTTAGATGCTGACCAAAGCAAATGCCTTTAGTACAAAATACCACATGTGATTTAAACCAAATAAAAATACTAAGCCAAGACATAGTGAACATATTTCCTTGATAAATTCATCAGGGAAATCTGTTGTATTTAGAAGGATATAGAGAATGGCCATCAGGTGATTATGCCAAAAAGATGGGGCTTCACCACATGAAGGCAGCATTTGGGAGATTGAAAGAGGAAGGAAGGAAGCTGCAAAGAGTACTGGAGCAGGAACAGAAGACCCAGGCCCTCGCTCTGGTTCTGCCACCAACTCAGTGACCTCAGGTAAGTCCCTTTTCCTCTCTGGAGTTCAATCTCCCCAACTATCCAAAGAAGGATTGGCCCAGCTCTGACATCTGAGGATTCTGAGGGGTACTCAAGAACCCACAGCTATTTACTGACCTCTTTGTGGCACTCATCCAGCAGGCAATGAACGGTCTGCTCTAACTTCAGCTGAGTTGTAAGCTGGATAAGAACTGAGCAGACACAACAGCAT